TTTGCATTAATGTGCAAGATATTGCTGTGGCGTTAGACCTTATTTTTCATGGACTTCGTCGACAAGCATTATTTGCGCAATTACTTCCAAACGAAAGTGAAGCTATGGTTCGTCTTCTGCTTCGGGATCCTCTAGTTTTGCCTCTCCCGGAAGATGCATCAGCAGGGACCGAGCCCCTGTCTGTAACTGAAATCGGGCCAATCGCGCTCTCACGTGCCGATAGTTTGGAAGCCATAGAAAGCAGAATTGAGGTACGTACTCATGCTGTTTTCCAGCAACTGCCTACACTCTAATGGTGCGGTTGATGCTTTTAACAGGCGTGGATACTTGAGAATGTAGGAAGCCAAGTGAACATTCCCAAAGGAGGCTTTCTCTCTTATTGCAGCTCGCGAAAATAACCTAACAAACAAGGATGAAGGGTTCAAATGTTCAGTCTCTTTTACGAAGTTGTGGTATGGTACACGATGGTTTTCTCTCGCGCCGTTCGTGCCAGAGGAAGCCGCTATGCAGAGGAAACCTCGGTAGTTTATGTAGCTAGCTACTCAAGTTCCGTCTCCTTATACATCATCCACTCCTTGTCCTCCAAACGACCAGACATGAGCTTGAGCATTCTGTCGACCGTGACGTTGTCCTCCTCTTCGTCCACTTCTGCGAAGTGTACCTTGTAGGTGCCGCTTTCATTCCGCGCAACCACCTCGGCCTCGTAGTACAGACGAGAACCCTGCTCCTTCACTTTGACTCTATCTCCGATTTCGATCTCGTCCCACTTGGCGATCCGCTTAACTTCGCTGCGCGGAATCCGGTCCAGCACCTCCACATTGGACACCTGGATGCTGCAGCATTCTTCCTGCACGTCTGTTACAATCTACAGCATACTGTCGTCAGTATATCCTATTACACTGCTTACAGAAGGGTAGCACTCACTCCAACGACGCGCTTGGGATGGTCTTCGACGAGGAAAGTTACGACATCCCCCACCACGATCTGGACACAATAGCAAAAGGAAATCAGCTACAAGGTGCACAGAATTCGAGTACATTCACTCCATTGCCACCTCGCCGGTGTTGTCCGTCGAGGCACCTGCACCCATGGTTAATGTCTAGTCTTGGTAAGCAGTCGGCAACAGTAACCACGTTATGTTCGTGCCACGATGGTTGTTACGTCTTCAAGATGCTATCTTTAGATTCCACTTGTCGTGGATTGGTCAAAATTAAAAAGGGTAAGGTGATAAAAAAAGTGCGTGTACAGCTTTTAATAATGGTGCCTCTTTTTCCGTAAATGACGTATTGTGCCTTTCAGCCGTTTTGGCGGGTAAGTCGCTAATTCGGCCTGAATTAAAATAACCCTTTTCAATGGAGTACCCATCTATTAGAGCAACATTTAGGTTTGCGTTAACGGAGAGAGCTTGGAGTTAGCCTCGGATTGTTTTAATTAGGGCAGTTTGGCGGTTTGCTACCCGCCATTCGTTGCTAAGTGTGCCGCAACTCCGTCTCTACTTAGCCACACTTCCATTTTGTCTTTACTTAGAGGAATTACAAGAGGCAATGAAGGACAGGTTTGGTAGCACGCTGAACTATTATACTCCAACACTTTGTCGTCTTCTTAGATTTGACCTCAAAATTACTAGATAAGTACTAACTAAGCGCGCGCGCGAAAGCGTGCCGGCTGAAGTAGAGAGCTTCTATCGAAAAATACGTCCATTTTACAGTGGACCCGATCAATTAGTTTTTATCGATGAAACATCTAAAGACAGTAAAGATGCGCTTAGAAAGTATGCCGAAGGACTCGCCCACCTTTATAGTCAATACAACAGCTAATGTTGCTGGTAGACTCAAGCTCATCGGAGATACGCTGCTTCAGGGTCCCACAAATGGTCCAGTGCACACCTAAACTGCTAAAACACCCATACATTACTTTTAGAACTGATCAAGTACCAGAAGATAGCATCATTCAGCCCGTATCTTACCTGTAACGACTTCCCACTTCCCACAGCCTCCTGTGAGAAAACAGTTAGCCGGCGAGAGATCTGAGAGCGCGCGACCAGTTTGCAAGGTCGAGCTTCGGCTTGAAAGGCTGTGGGGCTCGACTTGACGTGCGCGAAGCGGGAGCGGAGGGGTGTCGAGCTGCGGCACGCTGCATACAACACGCCAGAAGGAAACAAGTGGCACAACAGTTAGTAGGCAAGGGCATCGCAGTAGTCCGCTTGGGGCGCGCTTCCTTTCGTCTTACTTCGCTTGGTTGTGGTTCTGAGTGCCACTCATTCGCCTCGGAATATAGGGGATTTGCAGCCGTATTTTAGACTGGAATTATTTTTAACCGGCTGGTTTTAGCATCGAGAGCGAGCTGGAATTACGACAGAATAATGAGCGCAGCACAAGTGAAAGGCGCAATAAATGGTTTATTTAAGTAATCGATATCGCGCAACAAATTATAATGCCCTATTAGACACTTTTTGATCACGTATATTACGCTATTTTTGAGCTCTCACTTGGTTAAAAAAAAAAAGGGACTCGGGGGTAGGGAACGGTGGAGGCTTCGTAAAAATGATTTCGTATGATACGCTATCTTGAGCGGAATAGCGTATCGTACGAGACTTCTGTATACCGATAGATTGCAAAATTTTATAAGTAATTTTGTATGTGGAGTCAGAGGTGTTATCATCAAACACGTGTTCTAATGTAAAACACACAACTACGGCCCTGTGAATTCCGCACTCGCGGACTCAAGATGGACAACGAGCAGCTCTTCGGCGAAGACACGGAGCTGCGCCGACACGAAGCTACGTCCCGTGTATGGCGACAGGTGGTACCTTTTCACGTGACTACAGTTGCCGAGGCGCATGTCGATGCTCGCAGCCAGCACCAAGTGGAAGAATCAAAT